GGGAGGTCCGTGTTTCCTAGGTCCATGCACGCTGGACTTTTCCCTCCTTCCCTTTTTATTTTTATATTTTCATCTTGCCACTGGGACTTAGTGGCGTTGGTGATGATGGATCGCACAGAAGTTAAGCCCCTTATTAAAAAAACTTCTGAGTCCGCCGTTGGTGTTTTTCCTCTGCCCGGTGCCGACGGCGTGGAAGATTTCAGCCCGTTCACCTTCCACCCCACCAGCCCCAGGACTGGGGTGATCCGTCAGCTACGCGGTCGCAGCCAAGCGCTGGAAACTTAGCTGCTTTGTCCCTCCCCAAGCGCACTCGTGTTCGCTTTGTGGCCGGGTCTCGGGCAAAGGGTGCTGGATTACCCGGTGAAATTATAGCCCGATCGGTTTCCCATCCTCCTTTTGAGGCTTTCTTTTCGTAACTTCAAGTCTTTGATTTCTGACTTGGTTCGCTGCTGCAGAAGTATGCCAACAGGCCTGGGGAGGCAGCCTTCAGGATAAAAACCCTCTTAACGCTGGAAGGCAGCACTCTCCGAGGACGTCTTCCTTTTCCAGCCAGGGATGGCTCCTCCGACACGCCAGTGCTGCTCAGCCGCCAGGCTTACCGATCTGCTTGTCTGCATAAGGCATTTCTTGTTCTGTTATAACCTCCCAGGGCTGTGTCTCTGTGAGGCGGCCGCAGGTTCCCAGAGACAGCAGCTCCAGAACGTAGAACAAGCCGTTGGCGCCTATGTTGTTGATGAATCATGGCTGTTTACGCAAAAATAATGCAAGATAGGGCCGTGGCTGGTTGCCTCACCATAACAGAGGAGCAGAGGTTTGCCAGACGTCTAAATGAAAGGGTTGGGGGTATCAGGATGGATACAGAATTCATCCAGCTCCTTCCCAGGGGTAAACACAACTGTCAGGAGCGCTCTGGAGACCACGACCATGTGAAGCAAGCAGGAGTCATTTTTTTAGGTCCATATGAATATGCCACAACACTATCCAACTGTTATTTTTAGATTTATGGTTCACCACATAAACCTTCAGATTATAAGGTTCCCCAGGTTCCCATATTTAACACAAGTGTTTTGTTGCCTGGAAATAATAATATCCCATGTAAATCAGTAACTGGCAAGTACTAGGTCCTGTTCATTTTTCCTCCTGAATAGTTCTCAAATCTTTTAACCTCTCTGCATCCCCATTTTTCACAGTTCTACTGTAAATGTCTCCCAACTGCTTCTACCTCATGCGTTTCTCATCTGGGGTCACCCTGCCTGGCTGATCTTTGGCTTGTATTCTAGTCTTGCTGTTCCTGCCCCCCTATATTCCCAGCCTTCTGTGTTCCTAGCCATAATCAGTAGAAAATTCATTCTGAAGCTTTAATATGTCAAAGAATCATCTGGGGCCTCCTTTAAAAAAACAAATTCAAACTGCCAGCAGGATCTGGAAGTCTATATTTTTACCAAGTGTCCTGGGGAATTTTTTTCACAAGATAAATTTGAGAAAAAATGACTAGCTTGAACCAACTAATTGCTTCTTCCGGAACAATCTCCCTTTTGCCTGCAGTTTTGCACAATCCTCCCAGCTGCCCCCACCTTAAGCTCTCTAACCTTGACTGCCTGAATTTCCTTCCACACCCAGCTCTGGGAAAGCCGGCTGATTTCTCCTTCCTTTCTACCATCTCTATACCCAAACATCCAGGAAGACTTACTGTGGCCCTAGATAGTTTTGAAAAGAGGCACTATTAATAGTTATACCAGGACAACAGGCCTAAACCAGCACATCCCAGGATGTAAGGTCACCCTACACTTAGCATACTATATATAATATATTTGTTTACTTACCTGTCCCAGTTCTGGACCATAAGCTTTAAATGGCAGGGACCAACCACATCATATTTATGATTCATTTTTGTTTCCCCAGAGATTAGGACAAGGCCACACATTCAGTAAGTGTTTAATAAATATGTAGAAAAGGAATATCCTAGTTTACAAATAGACCTTATGAGTTTGGCTAGGGTGACAAATTCCTAAAGCCTGACTCCTCCTGAAGAAAGCAAGTTTCTGAACCAGCATAGAAGGGAACCTGGGACAAGTGATGCCCCAGTAAGATAAAGCCCGACCTATACAACATTTTCTTGAAACTGGAGAAGCAAATGCCCAGTGTTTGAAAAAAAACCACTCCTCTGCAAGCTCCTGGACTTAATGAAAACAGCAATAAAGTAAGTAACTGCTCAATAGCTCGAACTGATTTTATTGTCTAGAAGTACAAGTAATGAGGCTAACCGGTATGTGAATTTTCCTGTAATTCTGGGAAAGAATGGGCAATATTTGATAACAGATGGCCTAACCAAGGTAAGCAATCATTTTGCTGCTATGTCCTCAACTTCATGGAGCAGAATGTCCACAAATACATGACCAAGTAACCAAATGAAACATATTTATTTTGGAAATGACCATAAGCACAAAAAGGGCCCCATCTGTTCTCTTCCTTCCTCTGCTTCTTGCCCTTCACAGAAGCTCTGGATCAATACACCCTGAAAATCTAAAATGTATCTCCCACAATGATGACCAGGCCAGGCACTCATCTTGTTGCTAATGGATGCTCCAGAGGGATCTGCGAAATGAGTCTTTTTGGTAAAAAATAAATAAATATATATATACATATACATATACATATACATATACATATACATATACATATACATATATATATATGTAAGGCAACTCAAACAGGCAAACAACTATTCATTTAGTAGCATAGAATGCCTGTGGGAATATGGCAGGAAGTGAGGGGCAGAGGTGGGGTGGTGCCTAATTGGGAAGGATCCTGTATACCTGTTAAGGAGTTTGAACTTGATCCTGCAGTGGGGGGAGCAAACACGAGAACCTGCCTTTACAATGTAAGGGAGTGAAAAGGCCTG